GCTTTAGGGATTTGGAATTAACCGTAATTCCAAAATAGCCATTGTAATGTGTAGATACAGCCTGTGACATCAATTGGCTGTGACAGAACAGGCCATAGGAAGCATCTGCACATGTGTCTATGATGTCACTGTGTTCCGTGGGTGGCATGGTGGCTCAGTGGTTAGCACTGCTGCCTCACAGCACCAGGGACCCAGGTTCAGTTACTGTCTTGGCTGATTGTCTGTGTGGAGTTTGCATGATCTCCCCATGGCTACATGGATTTACACTGGGTTCTCCGGTTACCCCTCACAGTCCAAAGATGTGCAAGTTAGGTGAATTGGTCATGCTAAATTGTCCATAGTGTCTAGGGATGTGCAGGCTAGGTTGATTAACCATGGTAAATGCGGGGTTACAGTAATAGGGTAGAGGGCTGGATCTGGGTGAGATGCTCTTCGGAGGGTCTGTGCAGATTCTGGGCTGAATGGCCTCTTTCTGCACTGCAGGGATTCTGTGTCTATTATCAGCACACACATCGCTAACCAGGAAACCATGCAGTTGAGATGGAGGCTGGGGCCCTTGTGGGAGCAGGGACACGTCACTGCACCAGGAGTGAAGGTGGGTGAGGTTGCACAGGAGCGGGAGAGATAGGGAGTCATCTGCTGATTGTGCATCTTGTGTGTTTTTTTTAGACTTTAAAAAAATCAAATATCTGAAGAACTTCTCTTCCTGCGGAGCCATCTTTGATACTGACAGTTGTTTTCCCTTGCTTATCAAACATGTTGGTATTCTCTTTATGCCTGCACAGTCTTTGTGCAACCTACAGGTGGCATTTATATGAATCACAGCCTTCAGGAATAGTGGGTAAGTGTTGGAAGGATTAGCAGGCTGATTATCAATCTGATTGAACCAAAAACTGAACACTCCGTTGGCCAACGAGTTATTGAGGGAGATTTGAACTTGAAGCTTCTGACTTGGAGGTACGATGCTACCTACTGAGGCCAAGGACTTCTTACAGTTGAGTTCTGGGAAAAATGTGAAAAGTGTTTGGCACTGGAGTTATATTCATTTTAAAAACCAAATCCTGATCAAATAGTTTTGTAACCCCCTGCCACTGCCCTCTCCCCGTCCAAATTGACCTTCATCATCCAAGTACGACAGAATATGCTATTTTGCTGTTTTTCATTCTTGCATTTATTAGTCTCTGTAACATCCAAAAGTTGAATGATGAAATGATTTTCCTTCTACATCTCCAATTTTTGAACATTTCCTTGGTCGGAAATTTTAATAAGTTGTATAAACATAATACTGGATAAGAGTGCCTACTAGATCATATGACAATAAAGAGTATATAAAGTTGGCTAATTCTAGCAAAACCTGACGTGTAGTCTGTAGTACATTCTGTAATGTAGAAGAATGGCTGAATAATATAGTATTTTGATCTTCAGTTCTGATGATTTGGGAATTGGTATGAAGAACTCCAATAAGTTGTAATTTCAGTGTTCTCCCTTTCCCCACACATTCCTTAATGTTATAACGTCATAGAATCATACTACACGAAAACAGACACTTGGTTCCAACCAGTCTGTGCTCAACATAATCCCCAACTAAACTAGTCCCACCTACCTCTCCGGGCCCGTATTACTCCAAACCTTTCCTATTCATGTACTTATCCAAATGTCTTTTAAAGTTGTAATTGTACCCACATCCATCATTTCCTCAGGAGGTTCATTCCACACGCAAACCTGTGGAACCTGTGTTTTAAAAAAAAATTTGCCCCTCATATCTTTTTTTAAAATCTCACTCCTCACCTTAAAATTGGGCCTGCTAGTCTTGAAATCCCCCATAACAGGGAAAAGGCAGCTACCATTAACTCTCTCTGTACCCCTCATTATTTTGTAAACTTCTATCAGGTTTCCTCTCAACCTCCCATGCTCCAGTGAAAAAAGCCCCACCCAATCCAGCCTTTCTTTATAACTCGAATCTTCCATACCTGGCAACATCCTGGTAAATCTCTTCTGAACTCTCTCCATCTTAATAATATTGGAATGTGTTCTAGGTTTAGTCCACCACCAACTGTAGATTTTCATTAACTACTCAGTTATGGAAATGAGTATGAACTATATTACTGCAACATCAGCAGTTAATTTTTTATGGTATTTCTTGCTTTGATCTTGTTATGCTCATTCTAAAGCCAGTAGAATTGCTGAAGAACCTGCTTAATCTAACTGGCACTATTTTCACTGACCAGTCTAACCAATTGAACAACTCAGTAAATTAGGCTTGTGAATCCTCTCTACTTTAGTGCAATTAAAAGAAAACCCTTTTCAGTACCCACCCTATTTCAAAGTCAAATAAGTACATATTGTAATGTGGGAAATGTGGAAGTCAGGTTACTTAAAGAAAGACTCCACTTGTAGCAATAGGACAAAGACCAAACAAGCTCTCTTTGAGATGGTGATTTAGGAATAAATAGCGGTTTGCTCTTTGAATAGTATTATGGATCTTGTCCATTGCTTAAGAGGACAAATGGAGTGTTTGTTTAATACTCATCAGTAAATTAACAAAATAACAGCTTGACATCTATAAGTAGTTTACAAGGATCTCATTTTAGACAATGGGCTCAAGTCTTTGCAGACTTGTTGATTCAGAGTTGAAGGTGCCTTTACCTGAGCCATTTGTGACATGCGTAACATTTTCCATTTTTTTTTCTATTTAAATGATAACCTCTTCCAAGATTTTTTTAAAACTCTCACATGAAAGGTGCAGCAGGTAGTTAAGAAGACAAATTGAATATTGTCCTTCATTGCTAGGGGGATGGAGCTTAAAAAAGGGGAGGTTATGCTCAACTGTATAGCATGCTGGTGAGGCCACACCTAGAGTACTGTGTACAGTTTTGGTCTCCTTACTTGAGAAAGGATGTGCAGGCATTGGAGGGGGTGCAGAAGAGGTTCACTGGGTTGATTCTGGAGTTGAGAGGCTTGGCTTATGAGGAGAGATTGAGTAGACTGGGACTGTACTCATTGGAATTTAGAAGAATGAGGGGGAATCTAATAGAAACATATAAAATTATGAAGGGAATAGACAAGATAGAAGCAGGGAGGTTGTTTCCACTGGCAGGTGAAACTAGAACTAGGGGTTGTAACCTCGAAATAAGGGGGAGCAGATTTAGGATGGAGTTGAGGAGGAACTTCATCACCTAAAGGGTTGTGAATCTGTGGAATTCCCTACCCAGTGAAGTAGTTGAGGCTACCTTATTGGACATTTTGAAGGCAAAGGTAGGTAGATTTTTGAACAGTGAAGGAATTTAGGGTTGCGATATGCAGGCAGATACGTTGAGCTGAGTCGAAGAAAACATCAGCCATGATATTATTGAATGGCAGAGCAGGCTGTACGAGCCAGATAGCCTACGCCTGCTCCTATTTCTTATGTTCTTATGTTCTCATGAAACATTTTAAATTTCTCTACATTACATTTCATTTGCCGGCCTTGTATCCAGTTCTTCAGAATACTGAAATCCAACTTGTTTATCCTATTTAGCTTTGGAGTCTAAGTCTAACACCTTCATTGGGTTTGTGATATTTTTACTTTGTTGTCCAGTGTATTTCTTGATATACCTTGCAGTGTTCTTGTTCAAAATGCTTGATTGCTTGACATCATCAGCTCTCAGTAATTAGAAGACTGTTTCATGATTGGAGTCTACCATTGTCCTCCTTTGTTTCTGAAACATTCACACACAATTGTGAAGAGTAGTGAGTAGCTGAAGAAGGGCAGCAGTACTCCAGCTGAGACTGAATTCAGATAAATGGACAAATATTGACTACAGAGAGTTCTCTTGTATGTTATATTGCTAGCATACACTTGTCTTTCAAGAAATCACACTCTTTCATCTATTTTGTCTTTGTAATTTGTGCTTGTATCACTGGAAGTGTTTCTGAGCAAGACTGTTAGCGCTCACCTCCTTTCAATAGGTTCTGATTTTTTTTTTGCTCCATTCCTGTTTCATGTTGAACTTTAAAGTGCTGCTTTGCAAGGGGGAGTGGGGAGTAGAAATGAGAATAATGAAGCTGCAGAGTGAGTGTGGAGATATTTAACTAATACAGCAAGTGTTGTTTCTTGATACAAGCGTAGAGCAAGTTCATTCACAGATGACCAAGGATATTTCTTCCTGAAAGCTAATTTGATCTTGTTGATAGCAACAGTAGGCAGAAGGAACGCATCTAAGAGCAAAGTAATTGGAGAGTAACTAATTTAACTGAATGGAGCCTTCTGCTGTTCTGAGATGCTGTTCTGCAGAATATTACTAAAACTTTAAATTACAGGATGTCTGAAATGCAATTAATATAATGTGCATGTATAATTGGCAAATCTAAAGCTTTAACAAAATTGCCACACTTCATAGAGGCCAAAGACTAATAGTCTAAAATTAACACAATTAAATATACATAAGTAATCAGGATGAAGTGTACTGGAAAATGGAGTTAGTGCATAAAGTGTACTCAATTGAGCTGCAACAATTGCTCCTTTAATATTGGAAAATAACCAAAATGTACTTCAAAGACATAGGGCAGCATACACACTTGAAATAGTAAATTACATGTTAAGAGAGGCAATGGAAGGCTTAGTCAAATAGATTTGTTTTAAAAACAGGCCTTTAAGAGGTGGAAGAGTCTTCTTTAAGGATGGAATGCCAGAGCATGGTGTCTTGGTGGCCAAAGGTATGAGCATTAATGTTGAGGCAAAGGGAAGGAAAGAGATGTACAGAAATAACATGTGACCTGTCTCTCAGCCAGAGGTGTGTGGTGTGAGATAACAGTTTTCAAAGAAAAAAAAGTCATTTGAGTTGAGAAGTGAACAGTAACATACAAACACTGAGCTAATGTGCTCCCAACCCAAATTAAAGACCATCGAAACTTCTAATTTTGGACCAGTAAATATTTGATTTGTGAAAGGCGTAAATTATTGACTTGCAAAATTGTAGACATAAAAATGCAGACTAAAGAATTTTTTTTCATCATTCCAGACTGGGAATCAACAAATAAAGAAGCAAAGGTTGTAGGTAAGTGCTGGTGTTTTATTTCAAAAACAGTAAATTGTACATAATCCATACTAAATTAAAGGCTGAGGCTGCTTATCTTGCTAATGTGGAAACTGTGTATGTAGTAATTATAAACCGTTCTTAAGGTTCATGCAAACCATTTGTCATCACATAAACTGCAATTCTTACACATTACTAAAGAAATGGAAAATACTTTTTCTAACAAAACAGGAGTATTTTTTAATCAGATTGCACAGAAATTGCTTTATATTTGGTTTAAAAAAATCAGTGTCAGTCTGGAAGTGTAATATTACAGGATTATGATGCATCTTTTCATGTTCGAATCTTGGAACTTAAATTTGATTAATTCTCACCTCTGGCTCAGGGTCAGCAATTCCATAAGAACTTGATTGAAAGGGTTTTTTGGCTCTGTCTTTTCTTGATCCCTCCCTGATTTCCAGTTTAAGAACAACTAAATTTGTCAATTGACCTTCAAAAGTTGATTGCAGCATCCAAAAATGTTGGTGACTTTGTGTTGCGCATAGTGAGAGAAAAAACAGAACCGAGCATGCCAACAAAGTGTTCAATTAAGTAATGCCTTGCTGTAAGGGATCAAATTTCATGTCTATCTATTAAGAAAGCTTTTTATGATTAGCAAACATGAAAATATACCAGATGAGATAACAAGGTGTAGAGCTGGATGAATACAGCAGGCCAAGCAGCATCAGAGGAGCATGTAAGCTGACGTTTCGGGCCTAGACCCTTCTTCAGAAATCTTTCCGAAGGGTCTAGGCCAGAAACGTCAGCCTTCCTGCTCCTCTGATGCTGCTTGGCCTGCTGTGTTCATCCAGCTCTACACCTTGTTATCTCAAATTCTCCAGCATCTACAGTTCCTACTATCTCTGAAACAACATACCAGATGGCTTGTTTTGGTGTTTTTTTTAAGAAAAAGACTTTTGGAACTGCGAAACTATGCTTCTGAAATTTGAAACAGTGAATGAAATGAAAAATTGAGCAAATGATAACTTAATTTTTCTTAAACCCTGTGATCAATCTCGCCCTGTATAATTATGAATAATCATGGGAGCCATGCATGTCCTGACTGGTTCAAAATCATGGAAATCTTTACAAGAAAATTTGTGGACTATCACCACAACGTTTGCATAGTTCAAGAGATGGTGGTATGTCTTTTTGAGAACTGGGGAGAGAAAATTAATTAGGCATTTCTAGAGTAGCCCAGATTCAAGAACAATAATAAAATGAACTCATTAAAATTGAGAGTGTCATTACAATTGGTTTGAAGGTACAACTTTTGAATTACCCCTATCTGAAGTTTAAATAGTGAGACCACTTGTATAAGTGTGGAACTCTGTTAAACAACCAAAAGATCATGGGTGTGAACCATCAGAAAACTTGACTGGCTTTCTAGTAATTCATGAAAATATGCTGATCTCCTTTGCATTTCTTTTGTAATTTATTGGGATCTTGGACCAGACTGCCAAATTTATGTTATGATCTGATAAGGGACCAGTGAACTTTTATTTTAGTGTCAACTAAGTGTGATCCAAGAACTTTATAAGAGAGTGAAGCTGTAGGTTTCCACGGTTTGACCAAGCAACAAGAAAACATTACAGTTCTAACTTTGTACAGTAATACCATATATACACATAGACACAACTTATTTCCCAAAATCCAGAATTAACCTGAAATAAATGTGGGTAACAGACAAACTGTGATCAAACACCACAAAAGTTCATCAGATAGCAACTGTCGTCAAGGCAGATCTCGCCAATTTATTGTCTGCACTCCAAATGTGAGTGAAAGTGAGGGTTATCAAATTTCATTAAAAAGTTTTCAGGTGTTGCAATTTGTTATGTTTTAAAGGCATAACTTCAGAACTCCCTCAAGAGCCACTCTTTAATGGATTGTCTCAATAAATGTGATGCCAGTCCCCTGAAATCTTAGAATTGGACTCGAGCATCTACTGGCAGCGCAATTCCAGCTTTTTGCTGACAGCCAGTTTCACTAAGCTAATACTGCCCTTGGATATTTTGTCAAGCTTTAATATTTCTCACTTGCAGCAAACTATTTGTGGGCTTTCAAACCCCACCATCTTAAGGATGGTACCAAATTGAGTAAAAAAAATCCATGCTGGAAAGCTTAGTCATAGGCTAAAAGATTAGGAAATTTTTGAGAAACCAGCAAAGGATGAAGAAAAAATAGTGAGAAAATGAAGTGTAAGAGAAAACAGGTAACAATTATAAAAAGCTGACATGAAAGCTGCTAAAAGTACTTAGCAAGGAAAAAAGTAGCAATAGTCAAAGTTGGTACCTTAGAATATCAGACTGGGAAAGTAACAAGCGGAAGCAAGGATATGGCAAAAACCGTGGACAGTACTTTGCACGTCTTCGTTGTAAAAGACACAAAAAAACCAACAATAGTAGAAAAGCAGAAGGCTAAAAGTCCGGAGAGGAAATTAAAACTTTCACAATCACTAGAGAAAAGGATACCAGGAAATCTGGTTAGACTAAAGGTTGATAAGTCTCTTTCATGGATAGCCTGTGTCCAAAGGTCCTGAAGGAAATAGCTGGAGATATAGTGCATGTATTGGTTGTCATCTTCCGAAATCACCTAGATTCTGGAAAGCCGCAGTTGTATTACCGTTCTTCAAGAAATAAATGAAACAATGCAGGAAATCATATCTATCATTAGAAAACGATGGAATCCATTATAAAGGAGGTAGTGGTAGGATATTTAGAAAATCATAATACATTCCGGCAGAGTCAACATGGCTTTGTGAAAGAGAAACAGTTTTTGATAAATTTGTTAGAGTTCTTTGAGGGTGTAACTGGGGGGGTTCATAAAGGGGAAGAGTATTTGGGTATCTGGTGGTATTCGATAAAGTGCCACATCAGAGTTTACTGAACAAGATGAGAGCTCATTGCGTTGGGAGTGTGATCTACTAGCCTGGGTAGAATATTGGATAATTTCATTGCAATCCCTTCACAGTCAGTATATCCATCATCAGATAAGAAAACCAAAGCTGCATACTTTGCTCCAGGTGCAGTTACACCAAGGCTCTGTACAATTGCAGCAAGATATCCTTGTTCCTGTCTTTGAATTCTGTCTCTGAGAAGGCCAACATACTGTCTGCTGCCTTCACTGCTTGCTGCACCTGCTCCCTCTTTTGCAATCTATTGCGAATTAGATAATCTGCCTTCCTGTTTTTATTACCAAAATGGATAAGCTAACATTTATCCACATTGTACTTCATTTGCCATATATTTGCCCACTCGCTTAACTTGTCCAAATCATGCCTAAGCGTCTCTGCATTCTGACAGTTCACCCTCCCACCCAGTTTTGTACCATCTACAAACTAGGAGACATTGCATTTAGTTCCCTCATCTGAAACATTACCAAGTATAGTGAATAGCTGGGATCCGAGCACTGATCCTTGTGGTACATCACTAGTCTCTGCTGGCACTCAGAAAATGACCTGTTTATTCCTACTCATTGTTTCCTGTGTGCCAATTTGTTCTCTCTCCATATCAGTACACTGCCCCTGATCCAGTGTGCTTTAATTTTACTTAATAATCTCTTATGTGAAATCTGGAATTCTAAGCAAACCACATCCTCTGACTTCCCCTTTTCAACTCTAATCACTACATCCTCTTGACATGGTACGTATGTGGACCATGATTTCCCTTTCATAAATCCATGCAGACCCTGTCACTGACTTCCAAATGGTTTTATGTCTTAAGTCTTTTATAATAGACTGTAGCATTTTTACTACCAATGTCAGGCTAACCTGTCTTTAATTCTCTCTTTTTCTTTCTACATCCTTTTTAAAATAATGGAGTTATGTTAGCAACCTTCCAGACTGTATAGAATCTTGAAAGATGACCATCAATGCATCCATTATATCTAAGACCACTTTCTTCTGTACTCTGGGATTTAGATTATCAGGCCTTGGACATTTATTGGCCTTTAGTCCTATCAATTTTCCCAAAGCCATTTCCCTATAAATTACAATTTTTTCAGTTCCTCCCTCTCACTAGACCCTGTGCTGCCCAACGTTTTTGGGAGGTTATTTGTGTTCTGCTTTGTGAAACCAGAACTAAAATATCTCTATTGAATTGGTCTGCACCTCTTTGTTCCTTGTTATAACTTCTTCTGTTTCTGATTACAAGGGGCCTACATTCTTTTTCTCTTCACGTAGCTATAGAAACTTGTACTATAAATTTATATGTTCTCATAAGCATGCTCTTGTGCTGTATTTCCCCAACCTTAACAATCCCTTTGTCTTTCCTTGCTGAAATCTAAGCTACTCCAATCCTCGGGCTGCTTTTTGTTTGGGCCAATTTGTATGCCCCTTCCTTACTATCCCGAAGTTCCCACTTTAGCCATGGTCACGCCACTTTTGCTGTTGTGGCCTTGTTTCAGACAGGAATGAACAATAACGATCAAATGGCCTTCTGTGTTGTTATAAATCTGTGATTCCTCTTTGGATCATCCCGCAGCTTCTTTCTGTCTGAACAGCCTATTTGCAACCAACTACTGCAACTGCCCATCATTCTGTTTCTTGACCATGTCTCCCAGCTTATCCATGTGATCAGTTTTCATTCTCCTTTCCTAGAAAGCATTGGGTCCCTGTTTATTATGATATTGTAATGGTAAGGCAACTTCTGGTGTTGTCAAAAATATGCTCAAGTATAATTCTAAACTGTCTAAGTTTGTGGCAATCTCGTTGCCAACCTTGTTTTCCCCTGATGATCACAGGAAGATTTACTTTTCCTGGTTGTGGGCGAGATCAGCTGTTCTTCTGATCTGTATGGTTTGGCTATTCCGTTCATTTTGTCTTAAATCAGTAGTTTGTGGTGCAAAACAGAAAATTTTGTGGCTGTTTAAGATGCATTTGTTGTAAATGGGCTAATGCAGTTTAACATTTTCCGTGTATTTGTTTCAAATTTCCTGATTTATTAAAATAAGTGCAATGGTATATCTGCGGTTGAATTTTAAAA